GTTCTGCTACTTTTGCTGCATGATTTACTCCAGATAATGAACAAGGTAAACTTCCTGAAAAATGAGAACATAAAATTAAGTGCTTTCAATTGAGAAGTGTCAGTCTAATCAACTTCTGGCCAAAAATGTAACATGCATAAAATATAAATTATCCATAATTGAGGAAAAAAATTGCCTGCTGCAAAATCCAACAAATACAGTTGATCCTCCATAACTCAAACCTCCAAAATTTCAAGTTTTTCAAAGTCCCTCTCAAAATTACTTTAGAAAAAATTTATTAAAACCTCCAACACAAATATTAAGAGCTTTCCCCATCAAACCTCCAAAACTTGAATTTTCTGGAAGCTTTTTGGATATTTCTTTATTGACACAGGAAAGAGAAAAGCAATAAAAATGTAAACTTGATGCATTGTCAAAGAAAATTGAGGACTAACAAGGCAAATTAAATCTGTCCTCCAAAATCAGCATCTTTTCAACTTACCCCAACAAAAACTGTTTTGTTTGTTCCTTTTTTGAAGTTTGAATTCCAGAAGTTCAACTGATAAAATTATGACAGGATGTCAGGATATTTACCAATAATCAATTAACATTTTTCTAGTGCATTTCACAACTATTGTGTGCTTGAATGGAAAACTTCAAGTCTGAAACTCTGCTTGCTGATGCAAATTTGTACACAAGGACACACAATAGTCTTGCAAAAAGGGCTGGTATAAATACTGGTACACTCACACCACATCAGGAAGCAAAATGAAACCACTGTAAGCTGAAGTTGCTGTAAGCAAAAGGTTACTCTGGATTCCTCTGAGAAGCATTGCAACAAAAACAAAAACAACAGGGGAATTTGTGTTTTCATGAAAGCTTCCTCAAGTAACTTATTTTGCCGGTGAATCAAGAAAAAAGATTTCATTCCAGAAAGACAGGTTGCATCATCATCAAAAAGCCATTTTTTGCATGCAATAATTATCATGACCCATACCTCACTCATATATGTTGTATCAGTTTTGTGGTGTAAAAGGCTGATATCAATTTTGCATGCAGATGAGAATAAGCCAGGATTTTTGGTTTGAAATCAAGGATTGAACCCCTTTTCCACAAGCAATGAAACAACAACAAAAAGATGTCAAACAATAAAACTGGGGAAGACAGAACCAAGGCATTTGTTTTTTTTTCCAAAAAAAGGGAAAATTATGGTCTCTTCAGCATTTCCTTTGCCCCCAACAGCAGCTGCCTGCAATTTACTTCATCAGCTTGTCAGCTCGTTCATTAGCAATGCGGATGCGAGTATAATTTGAATCACCCTGTATAGGATAAAAGGAGACAAATATATAAACAGTCATAAAAACTGAAAAATTCTGCAAGAAATTTCAAGGAGAAAAAGAAGTCAGAATGGTAAAATCTTTTCAAAGCATGTGAACTTTTACAAAAATATTTTCAGAATAACAGATTCTATTTTGTTTTGTTTTACGCACTATATTTTATATACAATGAGACCCAGCACACATGTGGACACCTTGACACGAGGAAAAATTTGACATGGGGACATTTATTTTTCAATAATAATGCATAAAAAAGGCCTGAAATATGGACACTGACTCAACAGGAGGACATTGCATGATAAAATTGACAATAAATTTCACAAAAATTGACTTTTATTTGGCTTGATTGCAAGAAACTGATATTTCCAACCTTAAGATGAATGCAAGAAAAATTTGTTGTCATTTCTCCCATCATTTTTACATCCATTCACCTAATTTGAAAAAATTAACTATTGCATAGAGGGACTTCCTTCTCTCTTTGTGATTTGAACGTTATTTCTGTATAAAGATGCCAACATTTCAATATACAGCTACAGAGATACACTATTCAATGCTCCAACTGTTCTGATTGAGTTGAAAATATATACACTGAATCAAATTCAAGTGGCAAACAATTTTTCCGTGGAATTCTGGAGAATATTTCTTCCATAAAACACCAAACATAAGTTATATAATGTAAGTCTATGGGAAAACAAGACTCAACTTAAAAAACACTTTTGATAAACCAATTATGTCCGCATCTTGGGGTCTCACTGATGTACTTTTGATGATGTGCAAACCACAAAAATATAATATTTTCACCTACAGCCCAACAATCTTTAGCCCCATTCTGGCTTTTGTGGAGAACTCTGTCTTTAACTGGAAATATTTCACTTATTGTCATGCGGTAAATTGAAAATCTTTCTTCAAATAAGTGAAAAGTATTCCAGAATTTTTAAACATCATGGACTATGCTTTAAAAACATTCGAAATCATATCCATATACTCTAATAATCTGAAAGGTTGTTTAAAACTGGGACAACCCACATGATGAAAGAGCTAAAGAAAACAAACCCTTCCTCATCATCAATCTTTTTTAAGCATTCCTGAATTATTTTCCAATAAAGAAAATGTTTCAATCAAAGGGGTGTTTCATATTTTTAATTTTGTATTTGTCTGTAATTTTTTTTTCATCTTCTGCTGCAGTCTTCATTTTTGTAAATATAAGTAATGCTGGTCTCTAAAAAAATCAAGCAGTGAATTTAAAACTTTTCTTGAAATCTTGAAAAAACCTCAGAATTCTGAAACATTATGTGCCATGTGATGAATATTCTTTTTCTAATCACACCTACCCTAAAAATTTCAGAGGCCGCGTAAAACTGGGACAACCCTCTTTGCATCCATTATTTTTACAGGGGAAGCCCTGATTGAAATTCTTATCAAATACAAATATTTGATGAGATATTTTATCAGGGTTTGGATGCGGGAGTTTTGGTTGTACCTTGTGAACGCTGAAAAGCGGCAAATAAAGTTTTCTGTTCATTCATTCATGCATTCAATACAAATAAGGTGGGCCATCTTTAATGACTTTAGACTGATGAGCTTTCTGCTAAATATGTACTGTACCTCATTTGTGATGCGAGAGATTTGGTTGTTCTGATTATCGATTTCAGAATTCATGTCCATGGCCATGTTCCGAAGATTTGAAAGCATGCCAGACACTTGCTGCATGTTCTCCTCCATCTCATCTTCACGTGCATCTTTTGTCACTCTAAACAACAACCAAAAATAGCACACAAATGTAAATATTCAATACATCTGGAAATGGGGAAAGTCTAATGCTAAATTTGCAGTAGGTTTCATTCAAAAAGTATATATAAAGAAACATTTAGTCTATTTAAAATGTTTGGAAGCAATATGCTGACAATTCAGAAATCTCGAAATTCAGAAATCTGGAAATGAGATAAAACCTGATGAGAGATTTGCAACAAGGATAATTTTTCCCACAGTGAAAAATATAAAGAAAAATTCATTTCCATCTAAAATATATATGAGCAATGAATTGGCAGCATATTTTTTAAAATAAAAAAATTATGAACCAACCTTCCAATGTATCCTGAATTGACCATGGCTCCATTTCTTTCATCAGTAACTCGCATTGGTTGATTGCTAACCATTTTGCCATCTTCTTGGTTCTTCCAAGTTCCTTCATTCTCTTTGAAATTGGCACTCCTTTAGAAAATAAAAATATGTCAATAAAATTTCCAAGATAAACATTCCAGAGCTTTTAGGCAAGCGTGCCATCACTGATGCACTTTCATTAATGTCTACCAAATGACAAACCTTATGAAGGGATCATACAATCTTGTGAAGGTTAAAAATTAATTGTTAAGCTATTGAAGTGTAGAGAAGAATATAATCAGAATTATTCCAGCTATTGTTCAATTGAAGCAAGAGTTGGCTGAGTATAGTTGATTATTCCTTGTGAAATATGCTCTTATATACTCATAACCCAGGAATTATAAGAAGGAATTCTGTCCCCTGTTGCATGCTCATGATTGTCTTTCATTTACACACTTTTGCTCTTTCAATCCAGCTTTACACCAACTTATATTGAGGCAACATCTGTCCCCAATAAGAGCCGCTTCCAAGGAATTATGCTTCCACATTGTTATCATCAGATATTATCAATAATTTTCTGATGAACCCATGTCAAACTTTATGTCAAACCCTTGCTGGCTCTGCTGATGGGAGAAGACATCATGATGAAGAGAGAATAGAAAGAAGCAAGTGAGAGAGTGATTATTAGGAATAAGCCAGCTCTCAAGTATTATGAAATAGTTTGATTATTATATTTGTTATGCAGATTTTAAACTACAAAACGCCCATTCCAGATGCAAGAGACATTCGAGTACTGAGGCAGTTACCCAGCCTCCAGGGGATTGTAATTCAAAGTGTAAAATCTACTTTTATGGCTGGAAAAATTGATAAAGCTGGAGCATCCTCACTCCTTGGATGTTAGAAGAGGACTTATTATTATTGTTTCTGCTGAACACAGGTATCAAAATACAAAATCACACAGACAATCAGCAATTAAAATCTCCCAGTGTGGAATAAAAAATTGCTTACAACAGGAATAAAAATCAGCAAAGGAAACATGCATCACATACAGTATGGTCAAACTTGCAATTCCTTTGCGCAAAAATCTGTCTATTTTGAACTTTTGAAAATCCACAAGGTCTTATATCAAAGCAAAGATGTTTTGTAACTTCCTTTATTCAGATAAAAATTGGTCCAACTGACAAATCTTGAGATATCATTTCTTTTCTGAGCCTAAATTTTTCTTTGGGGATAAGACTCTGATGGGAAACCTTCAGAGGCCAGATTCTCATCTCATGAATTTATTTCTGAAACAAATACTCCTTCCTTCATTGCATAAACCAGAGTAAATTCCAGGAATCAAAAAGAATAATTTTAATTGATGAACATATTCCTCTCTTGATGCTCTCCTGACCTGACCTCCAATATATTGTGATAAGGAGACTCTTCCTCTCACCTGTTCATCCATCTTGAAGTGCCTGCTCAGGTACACAAATATGAATAAATTCTTTACTGTCTCATGTATGATATTTCAAGTACTGGAATTATAAACCCCTGCAAAATTCCTCCCCAGTTGACATTAGTGCAGTGATTTTCTGTGAGACCCCTATGTAGGAAATCTCTGATGCCTGTTTTTCTGTTTCTGAGTCTGGTGTAATTGTGGTTCTGCACAGAAGTACAATGAAGACTATTTTTGTCTAAAAGGAAAAGACTATTGTTGGGGAAACACCACGCGCACGCCAAACAACGCGAAATCTAATTATTACATAAAAAACCGCGCAAAAATCAGATAAGAGTTCCAACCCTCAAAGGGAAGGAACTCACCAAGGACAACCACAAGAAAAACCAGAAACCAATTTCCGTTTTTCCCGGAGAACATCGAAGCCACTTCCAATGGAACCTTTGAACAGGGCAGATTGTTGTGAAACTTGCGAAATTTACGAATATTCTGTTGGAGTTCTGTTGAGTGTTGTAATTTCAAAGAAAGGAATACTTTGTATGTTATTTTTGTGGGACAAACTGGAATATACTTTAGTTTAAATTAGGGAAACCAAATAAGGTTCCCCGGCCTCGTCCCAGGCTGATTCTGTCTTTTATTTTAACAATTCGGAACTTTACTTTATAAATTTGATCCACTTGCAAATTTCTAACAAATTTATGTTGAGCTAAGTTTCTCCTCAACAACTATTCAAGCCATTTCTTATTTCACAGTTCTCATCAAAGAAGACACTCAAACTTTGAAGTTTAAGGAAATAAGGATAACAAAATGAACAACTTTGGAATGTCTCTGTGCTAAAAGTTTTTGGAGAAAAATGTTTATCACCAGCACAAATCTCTCATTTATTGTATTTTTAAATATTAAAAATAATAACCAAATTATTTTAGTTTTCAATTGAAATTATTGAAAGCTATAGAATTAGTATAATTTTCAAAGTAATTTCATCTTTTGTTTCATGCAAAATACATAGTTCCTATTTTTCAACCAGGAATGTCTTTGATGAGAAAATCAATTCTAGTTTGTCTTGGGTCATGCTTTCCTTCCATTTTCATGAAAAAAATCTGATGAAAAATTGAAAAACACTTGTGGGAAAATGTCCAGCACTTCCTCTGTCTGCCATCATTAGAGTGAAGGAAATAACAGAAACATTGGGATGAAAACATCATGAACATTTACAAAAGCTAAGCCTATAATGAAAAACAAATATTTGATGCCCTTGTCTTTGTCAGAACATCAGGAAAACAAGTTATATATGGTTTTAATGACAATATGCATATTTCTATAGATTTTTCATGCAAAAAATGAAAATTTCATCATTTTTGGTAGATATGAGCACCCACTTATACTTTCGTGGTGTCCTGACTTTCTTTGAACCTAGGATTTCTTAATCAATTAAGGTTTTCCCCATCAGAGAAGAAAAAGTTGGCAACACTTCATCTTTACTCTTCCCCTTCACTCAAAATAATGACTCATGCATCATATTCAGCTGTTAAAAGCTGACCATTTCTTGATTATTTGTAAGTCCAAATTTCTGAATAATTGAAGAAAAAAAGAAGTGCTACATTGTTTTGTGGGCTGAAAAACAGGAAAACCTTCTGATATACAGTACAGGTGGCACCTTGAAATTTGACCCTAATCCATTGCTGAAGTAGGGTCAAATTGGGATTTGGTCAAATTGTGAGACACTCCATGAAATTTGAAAATATAAGTAAAAAAACTGCAAAAAAAGTGGCTAAAGCAGGTTGAAATTCATGGCAAGGGTCAAATTGCGAGTTGACCTCCCTGCAAATTTGACCCTTGAATTGTGGGATGGTCAAATTGCAAGGTACCACCTGTATTTGAGCAAATTGAATAAATTTTTACTCATATAAGCACTCCCCTACTTTTTTAGGTTCTAAAAATGAAAATGGGGTGATTTGAGAAAATATACTTTCAAACTAAATATTCAATTACTTTTAGTTGCACAAAAATATGGCAAACTTCATTTCCTCATTTTTTCCAGATCCCAGCAATAAGCTCCAAAATCCTAACCATCAAGTCACATAACATGGGTTGAATATTTTGAGGGATACTTTCCTGATACAGTATAGCCCACCAGAGGTTTGAACTTTTTGCAGCACTATATACATAAATTGTATTTCTTGCACAGATTGAATGAATTCTTGAGTTTTTCGAGATTTTTTCAAAAAAATGTACCTTTGCCAGGGTAAGATGCATAATCCACAGCACTTTTCCATTCCTGCCAGATTTTCCTCAGCTTCTCTCATGTCTGCATTGATCTGATGCATTCCCTGTTCAATTCTTTCCAGTTGTTCTGAAAAATAAAATTATTTTTGAAATATTTGCACACTTAATATGATTGATTATATTTTGACTATATGCGAGAATTAAGCCTTTTCTTCATGCAAGTGATTATTTGCTTGGCTCAGTTATGCATCATCACATGCCCATGCTCACCAAAAAGCAAATTCAGAATAATTTGAATAGCATATTCACTCATTCTGTTCATTCATTCATTCATATCCCTGAATTATTTTAAATAGTTGTGATAATTTTGTTGTGGCTTTCAAGAGAGAAGTAGAAATTTTTCTGGAGACATTGGGAATTCCTGCAAAATGAAACCTTATATGAAACTCAACTTTAAGAAAAACAGCTTTTATATCTTTCACTGGATGTGTATAAAATCCCAACATATTCTATCTTATTGAATGCCTTGAAATGCAGTAAAAAGCAGGAGTACATTCAAGCCTCCAATTATTTCTTGTGGCTTTTCCTCTGACTAAACAGACTTTTTTTTGTGCTTAACAAATCTGTGAACAAGTTTATTTTGCTTGTATGTCAGTAGAAAGCCTCAAATAGAGCTGTATTTTGAACAATATCCCTGATTTAGTGCCACCATTTCTGAGTGCCATAAAAATATTCCAGGACAAAAAATGATGGCATTAAATCCATGGCTATTGACTTTGTTAACAATAGCTCAACCAAAAATGGGTCACCTGAAATTTACCTTTATTTTGCATACATGTGCCAATATAAAAGCTTGAATTTACTTATTAGCATTTCATCTTAAACATTTGGAACTTGCATTCATGTTTTTGTAAAATTCTTGACAGTGACAGTGAAAAATGTTGACATACCTCCCTGATCATCAAGTGCCACCAAAGTTCGAATACCGGCCTCTTTGCTCTAAAATCAGAAGGAAGGACAATTTTTTTTTATCATATTGCTAAGCCATTAATATTTTTTTTAATGGTATAAATATTGATCAAAAATGTTGAAATGATGCCAATCAGTCACCACACCTCTTCGCAGAGAGCCATCATCCGTCGGGTGCTTTCCAGAGACTGCAAAAATCAATCAATAAATTTGCATCAGGATTTTCTGATCAAATGATTGAAAGAAAAAATTTTGAGTTTGTATTTCAACAAAGCAAAAAATCTCAGCAGAAACTCACTGCATAATTAGTTTGAATGTCACTTTAGACGGATTATACAGTACAGTCAACCCCCATCTAACGGACTTGATTCGTCCAAGGGACAAATCTGTTAGACAAAAAGTCCTTTACACGAATTCAATTACACAAAAAATTTAAAATTTCAATTTTCAACACTAATTTTAAACTTAAAGAAGTCTGTTTGGCGGATTTTGTCTGTTGGGCGGGAGGAAAAACTGTTTGCAGAGCTGGTCTGTTTGGAAAAAATCCCTTACACGGGAGGTCTGTTAGGCGGGGGGCCACTGTAGTTACATTTTAATACTATATGTCCAGAAATTAGTGCAGTGCCCTTGGCTTTGTTTACATGGGAGAAATATGCTTTAAATACATGAAAATGAACCCATTCTTCTTGTTATGAAAATGAATTGCTTTCAATAAAGGACCATCAAGGATGAAATGAAAAGGGCAGCACATATTGGCTTTTTATTGTGTAATATGTTTGTCAGCCAAGGCAATGTACATATGGGCATGTGGAGCAAGTTAAATATTAAACTTTCCAGGGCAGCTTTTGTCCATGAAAATGGCTATAACTTCATATACAATACTTAGTAGCACAGTAGCACAGGAGTAGAGTAGCACAGGATCTTTACTGGGTTAGACATGCACTGATGTATGGGGTAATTCAGCTGAAAATTTTCATAAAATAGTGCATGCACTCCATTTTTATAGTGACTCTAAATTCTAAAACCACAATATTTCAACAAAAAAGACCATCCCAATTGGAATTTTGAAGAACTGAATCTGATTTCATCTGCAGACAATCCCTGCACAACAGCACAGTTTGTGCAACAGACTGTATATAGTCTGTTATGTGAAAAGTCTGTTACACAAGGGTAAATTAAATTAAAATATTTACATTTTTAATTTTTACCATCATTTTTAAACCAATAGAAGTCTGTTAGGTGGATTTTGTCCATTAGGCAGGAGGAAAAACTGCCTTCAGAAATGGTCTGTTGGGCAAAAATCCCTTTGGCAGAAGGTCTGTTAAGCGGGGATTGACTGTACATGTACTTGGAAATTTTTGCCTTTAAACAAAGTTTTCTATCTTCTGTTGAACTTGGTCTTAAATGTCCAATTAAAATCAAGTAAAATACAGAAGTACACCAAAACTTCTAACCAAAATTTTTAAAGGTATATACCTGAGCCTATGAGATGCACCCCCTTTTTTCCTCCCAAATTGGAGAAAAAGTTAATACTTGAGCTGAGATGGACAATAATTGAGCTTCCATGACTCAAACCACCCTATGAATTTTTTCAGAGTCCATGTATGAATTTCTTCAATAACCACAAATAAAAACTAAGTTTGGTTGAAATAATATAGACAAAAATGTGAATTTTTAACATGACCTATACATTGACTCACTTCATCTGTGACTTGAGATGCTTTGAGCTGAAGTTCATCAAGCTCTGATCTTGGAGCAGCTGGAACATGTACTTGGAAATTTTTGCCTTTAAACAAAGTTTTCTATCTTCTGTTGAACTTGGTCTTAAATGTCCAATTAAAATCAAGTAAAATACAGAAGTACACCAAAACTTCTAACCAAAATTTTTAAACTTAAATAAATTAAATAATTAAATTTTTAAGAGGTAAATTTTTAATTTTTATACCTGAGCCTATGAGATGCACCCTTTTTTCCCTCCCAAATTTGAGAAAAAGTTTATAATTGAGCCATGATAGACAATAATTGAGCTTCCATGACTCAAACCACCCTATGAATTTTTTCAAAGAGTCCATGTATGAATTTCTTCAATAATAAAAACAAAGTTTGGTTGAAATAATATAGACAAAAATGTGAATTTTTAACATGACCTATACATTGACTCACTTCATCTGTGACTTGAGATGCTTTGAGCTGAAGTTCATCAAGCTCTGATCTTGGAGCAGCTGGGGCATCACCATTCATTTCACCTGGAGCAGGCATTTTTTTTATGAGGGGGGGGGGAGGATTTCGCCTCCGAGGTTTCAAGAAATAAAAGCACACCAAAGAACAGGGATATTCTGGCACGCACACACACACACGAAATCCAGATTAGGTGAGATGGGAATATAATGAATATCCTGGGTGATTTCAGGGCTGAAAATTGACAGAAACTTATATGCAAAATTCCTGTCCTTGTATGAAAATGAACCTGACCTTGCTAATCAACATCAATCAAACTGAATAAGACTGCATAATCTAACATTATTGTTGAACATAAATGCATATTTTGTCCCAGTTTTTTGAAAGGGATACAGACAAATCAAGGCAGGCACTTCCACACTGGACAAATGAAGACAGAGAATTAATTCAAGATCAAGACAGGGACAATTTGAGACAGAAATTTTGGATACTGGGAGAATTGTAGACATATGGATATTCAAATACAGGAACAATATGAGAAAAGGACAATTTGAGACAGTCCCAAAGCAACTCTGCACACACAAGTTTCTTGAGTATGTAATCAGACCCATTCATTGTCCATTTATTGTCCTAATTATTTGTCTTATGTGATTTGAAATTAGCTTCTTTTTTCACAGCACCTTCATCATAGGATATTAGAGAAAAACAGTCAAGTCACTTTTTATCACAGTCTCTCTTGACATCATGTCTCTATAATTCTCTCTGTGCCACAAAATGCATCTGTCTCAAATCATTTCAGTCTATAAAAGGTTCAGTATCAATTTTCCCCTAACTCCAAAAATTTCTGTCTTGAATTGGCATTGTGAACCTTGTCCAGAAAAATGTGTTTCTAAAATTGTTCCTGTCACAAATTGTCCTGTCTCAGATTGTCCCTGTCACAAATTGTTCCTGCCTCAAATTGTTCCTGTCTCAAATTGTCCCAGTCTCAAATTGTCTCCAAAAGTGTTTGTCTCAAATTTTTGCTGTCTCCAGAGGTTTCAGTCTCAATTTGTACCCTGTCTCAAATATTGTCTGTCTTGAAAAGTTTCTGTCTTGAATTGTCCTTGTCTCAAAAAGTGTCTGTCTCAAAATGCCTCTGTCTCAAATTGTTCCTGTCTCAAATTGTCCCTGTCTCAAAATGCCTCTGTCTCAAATTGTCTCTGTCTGAAATTGTCTCTGTCTCAAATTGTCTCTGTCTGAAATTGTCTCTGTCTGAAATTGTCCCTGTCTCAAAATGCCTCTGTCTCAAATTGTCTCTGCCTCAAATTGTCTCTGTCTCAAATTGTCCCTGTCTCAAAATGCCTCTGTCTCAAATTGTCTCTGTCTCAAACTGTCCCTGTCTCAAAATGCCTCTGTCTCAAATTGTCTCTGTCTCAAATTGTCTCTGTCTCAAATTGTCTCTGTCTCAAATTGTCTCTGTCTCAAATTGTCTGTGTCTGAAATTGTCTCTGTCTGAAATTGTCCCTGTCTCAAAAACTCTGTCTCAATTTGTCCTACATCCCTTTTGTAAAGATGGGTTACATTCATGTGGACATGAATTTTTCAAATCAATGCTACAGCAGACACATTCAGATATTTATTTATCATTTCAAACATGTATAGCACATAAAACTTTGGAACAATTTGTTTGTTATATCACTGGAATATTTCATATACCCTACAGAAAAAGAAACATTCAAATAATGACAAATAATTGGAAGACACAAAAACGTGGATTTTTTCTAGAAATTTTTGAGTTTCAAACATTTCTCTTCGTCAATTTTCCGATTTGGGGTTCCTTCAATAAAGAATTTGATTCTTCTGTTCACTTTTATTTCTGAATCTGAAAATGACGAACTTTTCTCTACAATTTGCAGTTATTCTCCGAAGAAAACAAAATATATTTTGGTTATTTCTTGCGCAAGAATGACGTAACTTTGGTAATAAAAAAATTAGTCAACAAAGCTGCATTTTTTCAAATCAGCGCAGAAATCATTTAACTCAAATCAAAACAATGAAAAGAATAAAGATTTTTCTGGGAAATGAAGCAAATGAATATCGGCAAGGGTTTCGAATTTTCAAATTTAAATAGCCAATGGTTTATTGTCAGGGTGTCCTCATATATATTAAGGTCACACTGTATAATTTTAAGCAGCAAGTTATTGAAATCAAATAGCACTGAAAAATCGGCAAGGGTTTCGAATTTTCAAATTTAAATAGCCAATGGTTTATTGTCAGGGTGTCCTCATATATATTAAGGTCACACTGTATAATTTTAAGCAGCAAGTTATTGAAATCAAATAGCACTGAAAATATCACTTATTGCTTCTGGAAAAAAAATGAATAAATGAAGGCCATGTGTTGGATTCACTGGGAGGAAATGACACACTGGTTCAATGATTGTGGGGCTTTGCCAGAGAGGCTTGTGTGTATGATGCAGAGGCAGCACTGCAGTCTGCTGTACAACAGCTCCAGTGCACAGACGTGTGTATGGGTATTGATCCTGGGAAAAAGGGGAGGGAGCTCTGCTGAATCCCGGCTGGAACTGGGGCAGACCTGCTGGAAACAGGGGTTCTCTCTAGTATAGAAAGGTCCACAACAAATCACCCAGAGACAGAAGACCGCTCTATGTCAGGTATCTTTTTTTTTTACTTATATTAGAACAAAATTGAGACAGGGCCAAATTGATAAACAGCTACATTTGGATACACGGACAATTTATTGAGAATGAGACTTTTTGAGACATGGAAAAATTGAGGCAAATGCTTTGATCCAGGATCACAAAAGAACATAAGTAAAAAATACAGACAATTAGCCTTGTGAAGGACAAGAACGCATATTCAAGCAGTTTCCTTGAATATATGTTCCTAGTTTTCAATCAACAGTTTCAACAGAGTTGAATAGATTGAATTTCAAAGAATCAGCACAAACAATGCACAAAACAGATTTGAAAAACACAATTTGATAACAAGCACAGGGGTAATGTAGATTTGTGCACACAAATCATTTAAAAGGATGAGAAGATAATTGTCCAATAAGAGTTCAGGACAGACTGACTCCTAAATTCCAATTATATTTTGCTGTCTGCATCATCATCATCAGCTGATGTAGAAGGAAACCCTCATCAGTTTTCTCTCTTGTTTTCTCCTCAACAAATGCTTTTAAAATATTCAAACATTTTGAGACAAAATGACCTAACTGGGTTTCTCCCAATTATCTTATGTTTAAGGTGTGAAAATGAACAAAAATTGTACTGTTTGGTGAAAAGTCCATGATACCAGGGTGTTTTTTTATCCATTTTTGTCCATCATCACTGCCCAAGTGCCAATAAGTGAGTTTTCCTTGTCACAAAGGAAAAATGCAAATCTGTGAACCAACCTAAGCAGTAGATTCCTCTCCTCATTAAAATAGCTTTTGTCTTGATTTGTCCCTGTCTCAAATTGTCCCTGTCTCACTTTGTTCAGTNTATTGAGAATGAGACTTTTTGAGACATGGAAAAATTGAGGCAAATGCTTTGATCCAGGATCACAAAAGAACATAAGTAAAAAATACAGACAATTAGCCTTGTGAAGGACAAGAACGCATATTCAAGCAGTTTCCTTGAATATATGTTCCTAGTTTTCAATCAACAGTTTCAACAGAGTTGAATAGATTGAATTTCAAAGAATCAGCACAAACAATGCACAAAACAGATTTGAAAAACACAATTTGATAACAAGCACAGGGGTAATGTAGATTTGTGCACACAAATCATTTAAAAGGATGAGAAGATAATTGTCCAATAAGAGTTCAGGACAGACTGACTCCTAAATTCCAATTATATTTTTCTTTCTGCATCATCATCATCAGCTGATGTAGAAGGAAACTCTCATCAGTTTTCTCTCTTGTTTTCTCCTCAACAAATGCTTTTAAAATATTCAAACATTTTGAGACAAAATGACCTAACCGGGTTTCTCCCAATTATCTTATGTTTAAGGTGTGAAAATGAACAAAAATTGTACTGTTTGGTGAAAAGTCCATGATCCCAGGGTGTTTTTTTTTTGTCCATTTTTGTCCATCATCACTGCCCAAGTGCCAATAAGTGAGTTTTCCTTGTCACAAAGGAAAAATGCAAATCTTTGAACCAACCTAAGCATTAGATTCCTCTCCTCATTAAAATAGCTTTTGTCTTGATTTGTCCCTGTCCCAAATTGTCCCTGTCTCAAATGTTCTGTCTCACCTTGTTCAGTCTTGAATTGTTTTTTTCAAATTGTCAGTATCCCCATTTCTTTGGATCCAAGACATTTCGGGAAGTGATTGATTAGCCTCCATAGTGTATACAGTTCAAACATTGTCTTCATCAAAAAGGATTCAACTCTTGACATAGGAGTTCATTCTCAGGGTTTTAAATTGTCATTTGGGGGGTTTTTGATGTATGGTTGAATTGAATTCCACTTGATATTGAGCAAAAAACCCATCTGATTTTTTGCTCAGATGAATGCAATACTGTCATGGCAGGCAGGTCCATTGGATTCAGAACACTAAAGCATTGATTTGTGCTGTTCAGTCATTTGACTTATATGCATGCATTGTCATGGAAGGACTCAATTCTTGACAGAGAAGTAATTCCTTCCTATAGAACATGTAAATGTTATGTAACTGCTTGAATTGAATTCCACTTGACTGATGGGTTGGTTAACTCAGGTAAATACAATGCATTCCTGATGGGTCCATAATTTGGATCCCAAACATACATGACAGCTCCAAATCTGACAGTTTACTCAAAAATGTAAATTATCTTTGAATAATGGCAACAAAAGAAGACCATGATCACAAGACACATCCATTAATTTATAACATTAGAAAATACATTCAAACTCAGATTGACTGCCATCATTTGTCCTGACACATTTTGTGGCACTAAGCAAGGGTGAAACAGAGCCAAGGGTATTGTATGAGGGGAAGGTTCTGTTGGGGGTTTCTACTGTACACAAAATAAGCTTGTTCATAGAATTTTTGGACCACTGAGTCTGTTATATATAAGAGAGCAAGTCAAAAGAAATAATTTGAGGACCAAATTCATCATTTGTGTACAGTACTGTGATACAATATTTACATGTTTCCAACAATACAGAATGAATTGAATTTTTACACATATTGCTT